CAACCGAAGATCTGTTCCGAAGATGAACGGAGGTCTTACAGGTTTGGAACGACATGAGGGTGAGTAATTAATGACAGAATTTTCATTTTTGGGTGAACTATCCCTTTAAGAAATATATAATTATTGCATGTAGAATCATAATAGAAACTCATAGCATTTATTGTGTAAAAATTTTTTTTTTAAAAACAAATTATGACTGTCCCTCAGTTCTGGTCTGATATGACCTAGAATTTTGCTACTAATAAAGGTTTTATTTGCACTTGTTATCCAAGGACCCTCCAGTGCTGGTGAAGAGCAAGGATATGATGAAATGTGAGACTTCAAGAAAATATGGTATGAGAAATATGAAATGTGTGAAGAAAGGAAAACTCAAGGGAAATATCCCTTGCGAACAGAATATTTTCATTTTGAGTCATATCAAAACTGTAATTTTGTGAAATAAGGGTAAAAAATATTATTTAATTGTGTATTTGAGATCTAAAATGCTAGTTTAAAATAAAACCATTTCAAACTTAAAAACTTAAAATCCAGCCTGAACTTTTAATATTTGATGATGGAAATGTAATTTGTTCAAAACAAAATGGGAGGAAAAGAATGACAGAATATTTATTAGAGGGCATTTAATTTTGACTGCGCCAAAAGTGTCCATAATTGAAGGAACACTCGAATATAAGATTTGGGTCTTTCTGTGACTTTACTGAACAAGTATGTCACACTATTTTAGTCCTATGATCCAACTGGGATTGTTCTTTCTTACGCAGTCGAGGCAACATGCATTATATTTTACTTCTTCAAGTCTTCAAGATGAGCCACTTGAGCCAACATGAACGCTTCTAGTCAACCGCAGCATCAATTTTCAGCCAAATCTCTAGTGGACACTTTGTTTCGAGAAGCCCAGCGAATGTGTCTAAGATGGATTTCATCTAATGAGAGCAATCAAAGCACACTTTCAGAGGGGCTATTGGAGCAGATGCTCTATACAAGAGACATATAATAGAAACCGTTACAGAAGAGTCATATAAGACACATTTAATAGAAACATAATCCATATGTTATACTTGCTGCTGTAGACATTCTCAAATACATGGATAGCATGTTTAGAAGTTATTTACACCTATAGACTATAAATATTCATAAATAATTATGGAATTAATTGACAGGTGTAGGTGTGATGACAGTTTACATTAACATGAAAGGATCCTGACACTACCACCTCAGAATTTTACACAAATTCAAATATGTGAATATATACATGAAGGTCCTAATCAATGCAAAACATTGATAATAAACATATAAACTGTGCACAGGGGAGTATGAAAAGGCCCTGGGGACAAAAGCAGCAAGACATAAAGAGCTTAAGAAGGAAGAAATAATGAGCAAGCAGGGGAAACGGAGACATAGAGAAAGAGAGACAGAGAGTAAAGGGGGGCTGTGAAGGTACCATAGGGGTTTTTAACGTTTGATTGTGGTTCTGCATCATTAGATTCTCCTGAAACCTGATTACAGCGCTCTGGGCTTTGTTGTAGCTATTCTTGTATCCAGACGAGCAGAGCTAAGGGAATTACAGCACACAGGAAGAGAACAGTGACAGCCTCAGTATATGAGGTCACATCCGTAACGTAGCACTGTACGTATATATACTGTACTTCACTTACATAATATAAACAACAAAGATAGCTAGACTCAATATTACATTAAACTGAAACCATAAAAATGCACCACCTGAAAATAAATGACTTAAATGAAATTAAATAATAAAAACTTAAATTATTTCGGCTAGATGCCAAGGCAACATTTCTCATTTTTGTTTAGTTTAACTTAGGGTACTAAAATAACAAATTAAATAAACTAAAAGCAATAAATGATTTTAAAAAATAATAAAAATGTGCAAAAAAATTACTAAAACTTTGACTAAAATTAAAGTAAAACAAAAAAAATCTAATTCAAAATATTAACAAAAACTAATAATATATAAATTATACTAAAATAACACTGATTCCTAAGTGAAATATATATTTCCATTTCAAGTGTACGAAAAATGACTCTAAAAAAAGATTTTTTTATAGACCATTTCAGGGCATGATCCGTTTATGTTAGTCTCTCACATCCAAATTGTATTTTGGCAGCTCACTGTGTCTAGAGAAATATGAGCTGCCAAAATACAATTTGGGTGTAAGAGATAACCTGAATGGATAGTCAGTGTTTGGAAGGGAATAAACTGTCCCCCAATTATGTTTTATTACTATGTGTGTCTTTTTTGTTTGATTAACACAGAAATTAATTTAATACTGAGGTGCTGGTAAATTATAGCTGTGATGAAGCAGAAATAGTGACAGATCTTTTCTTTCGTATTGTGACGCACATCTGGGTGAAACAGATTATTGAAAAAGAAAAGAACGATCCATCAGTTGTTCATTGGATGAAAGCACAATGCAAGTTTGCAGCTGATAGTTAGAAAGTGGTGGAGTTTAAGCAGACTAAATGACTGGAGAGAAGCACGTAAAACATAAAGTTATGAAGTTTTTATTCAAAATGATTAGGTAAAAAATATATTTCATGTCAATGCAACTTTTTATTTTAAACTTTGTTTTATTTTCAGTTTATAAATGCTGTTTAGTATATGTACTTTTCCAAAAACCTTTGTATTTGACTCTTTTAAAGTAGCCAAATTACAAATTACGAGAATATGTAAACAAATGAAATTTCAGTTGTCATTTACTCAGCATATTGAGCCATTTTTCAAAATATCTTCTTTTGTGTTTCACAGTCATGCAGCTTTAAAACAACATCAGAGTGAGTAATGATGTCATAATTTTTACATTTGGGTAAAGTTCCCCGTAAATTTGGGGGTCAGACTCCTCCAAACCTCCCCTCCGCCCTCCATTATTTCTCAGACGCACAGCAAACTAATGAGGTTCATGACGCAGGACTCTAAAGTTATCAGAGCTGATTTTATTCCGCTATCTCTATGCAAGAGGGCAAAGCAAATCTGTCATTATATGTGGGCTGCCACTGTAGAGCACTCCCTTAGGGCACTACAAAGCCACTCTTGGAACACTACAGGGATACAGCTTTAATGCATTAGGCTGCTGGCCCGCACACTAATCAAGCCTTATGCGCAACATCCCTCTAAGTGCAGTCCCATATCCCTCTCGTTCCACTATCTATGAGTCATGTGTCGCTTCTTTGCCTTGTTTTTAATTCCATAAACCCCTCTTTTCCAACCACACTTTGTACTTCCTCTTCCCCCGTCATAGTCTTTTTGTTGTTGCTCGGTAATTCGTTTTCATACACAACTGTACCACGACCCAGAAGCTGTCAGTCATGGCATTCACTCGGCTGACTGTTGGTGATAGGGTAATATACATGAGACATGAAAACCCTCACACACACACTCACACGTCCAGCTGGTAGGTGTAGGTGGAGCGGGGAAAGCCTGTTCGTCCAGTCATCTTGTGTTTTTGTGGAGGTGGAGAGGGAGGGAGGAAAAGAAAGAGGCATCCAGAACTTGAGCGAATGGAGGAGGTGCTAAATAACAACATGGACATCCTCGGGTCTACTGTTGTCTTTCGGTTTGTCTGTCTGTTTATTACGAGGATCTCTGGAATGCTCGATTCTGATAGGTCAGTCGCACCACTGACCAGGGCAGCGCTTGTGTAACTGACCACTCACACTGAAATCCTATGTTTCCTTCATAGCTGTGCTTCTGTTTGGTCTCTTCATAGTGTCTACAAGAAAACTAATAAGACAATGATCAATGATTGCTTGAGGTTTGTTTTCCTGGACACACTTTTTTTCACATACATAATCAAATCCATTGGCCTCTGACCATCATGGCCTCCTAATCATCCCCATACACTGATTGGCTTCATCACTCTTTCTCCTCTCCACCAATAAGCTGGTGTGTGGTGGGCGTTCTGGCACACTATGGCTGCCGTCGCATCATCCAGGTGGATGCTGCACACTGGTGGTGGTTGAGGAGATTCCCCCGCTTTCATGTAAAGCGCTTTGAGTACCCAGAAAAGCGCTATATAAATGTAACTAATTATTATTATTATTATTAAATCATTTCAAGTCCATTTATTTGTTTATTTTTGTGCCAGAGTCCTGATCTACCTGCCCGGCTTTGTTTTGCGTTAATAAATGGCTGACTTTACATTATCCCTTACAGAAATGGTGCTGTATGACCATAAGCAGCACTTTTCACAAATACACTTTTAAAGTAATCAATATAATTGTCACAAAATATATTATTATTAGCTTTAATGATTCTATGTGAACTAGTGTTGTGAATGCAGCATATACCTATAATGCAAAAAGCTTTGGAGTACCTAAATGAGATACTCAAAGGAAAGTGGCTTATAGTTTAGCCGATTCCAGGAAGCTGCCCAAATAGGAGATGCTGAGACCAAATTTGGTATTGGTTTGTCTTTCCTTCCAGCAGTAAGTGACAGTAATTGCATTCTTTAGTCACCCATTATCAAATCCCTTAACCATTATCTCAGTGTTATAACTTTATATTTCTATATTTGAAGTCATGACTTGTGTCTCCAGAGCATAAAGTCTCCCCTGCAAACAATGCGTTTGTTTCATTCAGGCGTCTCATTAATAATGCGGAGGACAAGATAATCCAAAGGGACGCATAATCAAAAAAGCCAAGAAACGAGCCGTGTGCTTCTTTCATGTGCCTCGTGCGATCCTCCTCGCATGCTCTCAGCTCAGTCATTACCGGGCGCCGTGCCTGCGCTCCCCCGCCCTTTCCAACTACGTCTCCACAATCGTAACTCTGAGCTAAGACGTCCTACTTCCCTCTGTCCAAACTGGTGCGTTAGAGCCCTCCCCTCCTCTCTCCGCGCCGCCTTTTCCGTTTGCCACCCTCGCTTGGGCTTGACCCGACTGGTGACGTAGGAGAGATTCCGTGGTGCCCACAGCCGTAGGCGCGCGCTGCGCTCGGGTATAAATTGGGCCTGGGACCCATCATTCGGCACTCTCTCAGTCGCTCCGACTCGGGAACCAGAGCATCAGCGGAGATAGCAGGGAATCAGTCGCTAAACTCCTCAGGCTAACTCGCTCTCGGCTTTGGTTCGGAATGGAAACATCAACTTTTACGCGGAGCCAACGCAGCTCCATTGCGCACAATTTTAAGAGTGAGTTTCTGCTTCTTCTCTGTTCATCTTTATTGTAAATATGCTTTTGAAATGCTGAATTTCTTAAGTATTATATTTCTAAGTAATGGAAAAGAATGCATTTCAAATTATTTCAAGATTTAGAATATGACCAAACTGGCTTTCGAAAATGCTTGGTTTTACGCAGCATGGTTAGAATATATATTTTGTGCTTGATGCGTAAAATGTTTTGCATGAATGCTTTAGTGCTTTGAATTATGACTTTATTCAAACAAGTCTTAGCAAATGTACGAATATATTTAAAAGTTTAAAGTTACATTTGGAATTACATTTATATTCAAAGAGATCAAGAGAATAATATTCGGAGCTGTAGGCTGTAAAAATTGTGCTTAAAATCTGTCAGTAAAATTAAAGTTACAACAATGCAATTAATACAATGTTAAATCGCACTTTTTTCGACCACTTTAAAATGATTTACTTGTGAACTGAAATTCCGAAAAGTTCTTAATGAGAGAAATTATTGTCACAACGTAAATGGATGGAAACCAAGATGTTGTCATAATGAGTAAAACATATGAGTGCATTTGTAGTAATTAGTTCGGAGATTCGTGAATTTTTCCAAATCAAATCATTTTATTATCATGAATTAATGCAAAGGATAAGATGAGACTTACAGATAATTTTGGAGAGCTCTCCAAAATGGAAACTTGCGCTTTAGCTACTAAGACTGTGTGATGTGACGCGCTCTTCTCTTTCCATCAGGCGCGCTCTCGCTCTGGCTGGTTGTCTGGCTGGTCGTGGTAAAACCCGTTCCTGCGCAGAACTGCCCTCACCAGTGCGTGTGTTACCCGACCCCCATGACAGTGAGCTGCCAGGCGCAGAACTTCACTATTGTGCCCCATGGCATGCCCTACGAATCCCAGCGCGTTTTTCTGCAGAACAACCGCATCACTGAACTGAGAGTGGGGTCTTTTGCTTTTGGCACACAGGTAAGGAAGTGTATGTAGGCTCTATGTGTGCGACAGAATAGAACATTTAATATTTACATTTGTGAATATACATTTGAGAGTACATTTATGAGATATTTACTCATTTTGTATTCCTTCTCAATATCTTCACCTCATTACCTCTCCCTCCCTCTACCTTTTCCTTTCCTTTCCGTCCACCAATTCATCACATACCAGGTTTTGTGGCTCTTCTCCAACAACATCACCTGGATTGAGGCCGGTGCATTCAGCGAGCTGCGCGATCTGGAGGAGCTCGATCTGGGCGACAACCCTCACCTGCACCGCCTTGAGGGTGGAGCTTTCCGCGGCCTGGAGAAGCTCCAGAGCCTCCACATGCACCGCTGCCGGCTGGCCGCCCTTCCCCATGACATTTTCCACAAGCTCTACAGCATGCAGTTCCTCTACCTGCAGGAGAACCAGCTCCACTTCATCCAGGACGATCTCTTCGCTGACCTGATCAACCTCAGCCAGCTCTTCCTGCACGGCAACCGCATCCGCACTCTGTCCGAAAACGTGTTCCGTGGCCTGGTCAACCTCGACCGTCTGCTGCTGCACGACAACAGGGTCCGTCAAGTCAATCGCCGTGCTTTCCGCGACCTGGGCCGGCTGACCATGCTCTTCCTCTTCAACAACTCCCTGGCAGAGTTGCCCGGTCAGGCCATGCGTGACATCTCCTCCATCGAGTTCCTGCGGCTGAACAACAACCCCTGGGCCTGCGGCTGCGAGGCTCGTCCCCTGTGGGAGTTCTTCAGAGGCGCCCGTGTGTCCAGCTCCGAGGTTGTGTGCTCATCCCCAGCTTCTCGTCGTGGAGAGGACCTGCGCTTCCTGAGGGAGATGGACTTCGCCCTGTGCCCTCTTCCCGACCCCAGCTCCCTCTCTGGCACCACCACCACCACCTTCAGCACCAAGACCCGCTGGTGGTTCTCCAAGCACAAGCCCGTCAGCACTTCCAAGGGCATCTTTGAGAAGACCTCCGAGACCAAGGCATACCCCTTCAAGTCCCAGTATCCCTCAATCACATCTACATCCACAAAATATGAGCTTGGGGAGGAAGAAGCTCTTCTTCCCAAGCTTGACCCAGAAGAGTATTGGGCCAACTATGGCAATGAAGATGCCGGCATCACCTCTCTGCGCTGCTTTGAGCTTGAGTGCCCTCCCGAATTCGACTCTCTGCCACCATCTTCCTCTACTTCTCACTCCTCATCTTCTGTTCTCTTACTACTCTCCATGTCTGCTTTGACTGTCTGCATCCATCTTCTTTTTGGCTGAATCTGTTTATCTCAAGAAGAACACTCTTCCCCCTCATTTTTCTCCTCTCTGGAGGAGGGAAAACCCTGTTTGCTCAATTTAACTCTTCAATGCCTTGATTCCTGTTTACTATCAGCCTCACCTGTATCTCTGTTCTGTTCAGTTCGAGCCTCTAGTTCCTGGTATCTAGAGGGCACTAGACTGATTTAGGATACAGTGGGTAAGCAGGGAACGTTGGGCAGTACAGGCCCTTAATGGAAAGTAATGAAAGCTGTTCAGAGGGCTTGGTTAGTTAAGCAGATACTCGGTCCTTCTTTTTTTGAGGACAAGTGTATTCTAAGGCATCTCTGTTACAGTCAGTGCAGACAAAGGATAGAAATTTCCATCTTAGGTTTACGTACAATATTTGTATGCTTTTAGACTTTTCAGCCACTCTAAGTGCTTCTATGATAGTTGTAATTATAGCTTGTGATGTCACTACGACACCCTCTTTCCAACAACGCCACAGCTCCATTATTTCAGTAGTTAGTTGGTAACAATAGCATAATGAGCAAATCTTTTGATTCCCTTTGGAAGCAGCGATCGAATGTTATACTTGGTCTATTATAACAGAAGGGTCTCAAAATCATTCAGGACTCGAAAAGCACAAAAAGGAACGGTGTGCAGCAGCGAAGCAAGACAGACAAAGCACAATGGAGTGATGAGTTTGAAAGTGTTGTAATACAGCTATAATTTAAGATGCACGGAGAGAGCGAAAGCACACGCAGGAGAGACAGAGAGCATGCACAAGAGAAGGCGAAAGAATTCATTACATCACATACCAGCTATGACAGCAATTATCACTTGTGTAAATATGACATCTTGGCAGAGGGAGCTGTAAATAACGCTATGAAAGGCCTTATGCTTGTCACTGTTCTGAATGGCCAAGAATGTCACTGTGAGTAACGTCTGTGATATTATTTCTATGGTAGTGCATGGAAAGATCAATCAATGGTGTGAGAGAGTGTGAATGCCCTTTTTTTACTGTATGTCTTTCAAAATACTGTTAATATGTTGAGTTATTACTGTAAAATACACTACCTACATTGTTCTAAGACTTCCCTTTGTTTATTCTTCTTTTCAAATTCAAATGTAACTGATTGTCTCTGAATATTCCAGCAAATTCCATCCTTTCTCATTTAAAGTATCAATTTGAAATCAAACCAGTCAACAGCTTGCAGCTATAGTCAAAAAAAGAATTGGCAAAATGCTAAAAACTAGGACTGAATCCAAGACAAGGCAATATATGAAGGACACTGTGGAAAGACTGTTTCTTGAAATGAATTGATTACTGAAGAAAAATGTGCTTACTGACAGATTGGTCAACATTCAGATTAATGTCTACCATTGGTCATGAACATGTGAGGAGGGAAGGTGCAACTAACGACTGTCTGGGCTGCTCTTGGTGAGCTTGCTGAAGGCAATGGCTTTCTTTGGTGGTCTTTGCCTATTCCCTCCTCTTTCAAACTGCAATAAAGAATCAAAATGCTTTAGGGAAAACAAACAGAGAGGGCAAGGACAAGAGGAGAGAGAAAAGGAAAGGAGAGAAAGAGAAAAAGAAATGCACGGAAAGCAGAGGTGGATGTGGGCGGTAGAGGTGAAGAGATAGATGATAAAGGATGGACATGCTGATAAAGAGAAATGCAATCTAAAGTTCCTTAATACAATAGGTAAAGATCTACTGTTAATTCCAGCAATATCCTGTTTTGTGTTTACCCTGAGACAGTACTGAAACAAATAATACTGATCTTTTTGTCCCTCGGATGTTACCATGACACATTTATGTCTTACAATGTTTGTTCGATGTGTGAATGTATCTCAGCCGAATGGGTAAGGTCAAACTGCCTTAAGGTGCTCTCGAGTGACCATGTTTGTGAGGTTGCTCATATAGATGACCAAAGCATTAGTTATACCTTTTTACCCAGAATGTATGCATCGTAAGAATGTGAAAGAATGAGCTGTTCAGTCTTTTCACTACAACACAAAGTGATGGACAGAAAGCATGACAAAAGAATAAATGCTTTTCTGTGAATACGAAACATCTCTGGTGTGGGCGTATTTTCTTAATATCTTCATCCAACGGCTGTGACTCTACAGCAAAATCTCGCATGTGCCTTCTCTCCCTCGCATCTCTCAGTCTGACCTCCCTTGACACATACAGACAGACAGACAAATAGACAGCCGGTGGTCTTTGCCTATTCCCTCCTCTTTCAAACTGCAATAAAGAATCAAAATGCTTTAGGGAAAACAAACAGAGAGGGCAAGGACAAGAGGAGAGAGAAAAGGAAAGGAGAGAAAGAGAAAAAGAAATGCACGGAAAGCAGAGGTGGATGTGGGCGGTAGAGGTGAAGAGATAGATGATAAAGGATGGACATGCTGATAAAGAGAAATGCAATCTAAAGTTCCTTAATACAATAGGTAAAGATCTACTGTTAATTCCAGCAATATCCTGTTTTGTGTTTACCCTGAGACAGTACTGAAACAAATAATACTGATCTTTTTGTCCCTCGGATGTTACCATGACACATTTATGTCTTACAATGTTTGTTCGATGTGTGAATGTATCTCAGCCGAATGGGTAAGGTCAAACTGCCTTAAGGTGCTCTCGAGTGACCATGTTTGTGAGGTTGCTCATATAGATGACCAAAGCATTAGTTATACCTTTTTACCCAGAATGTATGCATCGTAAGAATGTGAAAGAATGAGCTGTTCAGTCTTTTCACTACAACACAAAGTGATGGACAGAAAGCATGACAAAAGAATAAATGCTTTTCTGTGAATACGAAACATCTCTGGTGTGGGCGTATTTTCTTAATATCTTCATCCAACGGCTGTGACTCTACAGCAAAATCTCGCATGTGCCTTCTCTCCCTCGCATCTCTCAGTCTGACCTCCCTTGACACATACAGACAGACAGACAAATAGACAGACACACACACACACACACACACACACACTCTCTCGACTCCTCACCGCTTGTAAAGTTCTTTGAAGGCAACATCATTCACTATAACATGCAGTTACCATGCAACGCACTGGCCGCCATTCAGAGCTTCAATTCAGAGTTGCAGAGTATGCAAGAAGTGTGTGCGAGTAAACGCACCCCTGAGGCTGACAAAAAGATGATGTTATTGGAAAAGGTATTCACAAAGCACTCCAGCTGTGTTATTGAATGGTCATTGTTAATTCAGATTCAGAAAGCCTTTCTTTTTCTTTCTGTCTTTCTGTCTTTAGCAGATGGCTCTCACTGAAAGAGCAGCAAGATGCAGAGAGTTTGCTTCAGTCTCCCACCATGTGCAAAGTCAGGCTGTGCTTTACACAAACGTGTACGCATACATACACACACACACATACGTGTGAGTCCCAGTGAGAGGCTCAAGTGCCTTTTCTCTCAATTCCACAGTAAATCTACCATGAAAACTACTGCCAACAGGCTGTTTCATCTGCCATCCAATGCTCAATCGTCAGCCTGTTTGCGTTACAACTTGCACTGATTGCGGATTAAAGATATCAGTGTGATGTGAATCACAAATTTTGTGTCAAAATTTTGTAGACTACAATTACTCTATTACTCAACTAATCAACCAACTGAGTAAACTGTGTATGGCCGATTATGACGCATGAGGCTATTTTCGGAATCAGGCCTTTGAATGGAAGACATCTGCATCGCGATGCCCCCATTGGACGGAGTACAGTTGCGCAAATAGTCCCTTCATCATCCCACCCACCATCTGGTTGAGCCCATTGGCTGTCGGCCACGCTACTCAACAATGAGACACAATGAGTTGGCTGGCAATCTAGGGGTGGCGACCACGTCAATATCGCTGAATATTAGATGAAGAATGAGTCACTGAATCACATGAATGGGGGATATGTGTGAGGAAGAAAGAAATAAGAGGCAATGACTTGCTTTCTCTTTTTTTATTTGTGTGTGCGTGTGTGCGAGTGAGTTTACCGGAAGTTGCTCATCACAGCAAGAGTTTGGAAGTGTTGGTAATCGCCCCCATGAAAAGAAATGTCAAATAAATACGGTTACTGGTACATATCGACACATACACATGAACACCCCTTTGGTGTGTTTTTCAGTTCATTTAACATGCAAACTTTTGTGAGCTGAAATTGCATTTTCTCTCTATGAAACATTATTACAAAACTTATAAGCACACATTTCTCATTTCTAGCTGCTGCTGGGGTTTCATTCAGTATAAATTAGCAATGATTTTAAATATATTCCCACATCTCTGTCTAGCGTGCAGTTCAGCACAGCTCAAAGCTCTCGTTATTACATATTCTGTTTTTTTTTCACACTTTCTCTTCTTTCGGTCTTTCTGCTCGGTTTGTTGCCATCAGCTCCTCTCTCACCCCTCTCTCACCTTTTCGCTCTCAAGTTTTCCAATTCACTCCCTTGGTTTCCTCACTTTCTCCAGCTCTTCTTGACATGAGCATGTCGCCTTTTTCTTCCTATCACTCATCTTTCTTGACTCTCCCCTCTTTTCTCCCCCTTTTTTTGGGCTTAATTATAGGTGTTCTGAGCCCAGTGCTGTTGAGTAATGAACCCAAGGATCGATTTGTGTTGGAGGCCCAGAATTTAATGATGTCCTCCTTAATGATTACCAGCATGGCTATCTGTTGCGGGACGAAAATAAAAAGTGGAGGGGGTGCTAATTTGATGCGTCAACTCCCTTTCATCCCGTAAACACACTGACAGGTTTTTATCTCACATGTTTTGATGTGTTTTCAAAGTGTAAGGAGAGAGCTGTAAAACTCATACTGCTCTGCGTAAATGGAGGAAAGAGACAGTGGCTGACGTTAAAACTTGAAAGGGAACCAAAAAGGAGACAGAGAGAGAAAGACAGACTGCCAGAGACATCAGCAGGGCTGAAATAGTGTGTGAAACGGTGAATAAAATGCAGAGAGGAGTGAGAGGAGATGTGAGATATTTGAGTCACATTCTTGGCAGATTCCGGCGCCACAGACATTTGGAGAGTTTATGAATTGCGTATGCAAAGTCGCACACACATACACACTCATTTAGCCCTAATCACACATTCGCAGAGCGCTGCACTCTTCCCGCAGTGAGGCAGACGGTTTTCAAATGGAGTGCGTCATCGCTCTCATCAGTGGACCATGGAGGTTTCACGTGCCTCCACTGCCTGCGTTGCAATCTTACAACATACCTGCAACTCAACTGTTTGATGGTACTCTAAATATGTGACCCTGGACCACAAAACCAGTCTTAAGTGTCAATTTTTCAAAATGCATGCTGGCTGAATAAATAAGCTTTCCATTGATGTATGGTTTGTTAGGATAGGACACTATTTATACTATTATTATTACGAGATGCAACTATTTAAAAATATGGAATCTGAGGTTTTGAGTCACATTCTTGGCAGATTCCGGCGCCACAGACATTTGGAGAGTTTATGAATTGCGTATGCAAAGTCGCACACACATACACACTCATTTAGCCCTAATCACACATTCGCAGAGCGCTGCACTCTTCCCGCAGTGAGGCAGACGGTTTTCAAATGGAGTGCGTCATCGCTCTCATCAGTGGACCGTGGAGGGTTCACGTGCCTCTACTGCCTGAGTTGCAATCTTACACACATACCTGTAACTTAACTGTCTGATGATACTGTTTTCATGTTAACTTAAAGCAAAGATCTTAATCCTAAACAACCCTATTCACTGCACTCATACAATACTAATTAAAGCTGTCAGTTAGGGGAGACAGTTCACCCAAAATAAAAATTCTGTCATTATTTACTCAATCTAAAGTTACTTCAAACCTGTATGTGTTTCTATTTCTGTTGAGTACAAAACAAGATGTTTTGAAGAATATTGGTTACCAAACAGTTGCTGGTAGCCATTGACTTCCATAGTAATTTGTTTTCCATACTGTGGAAGTCAATGGCTATACCAGCAACTGTTTGGTTACCAACATTCTTCAAAATATGTTTTTATGTGTTCAGCACCTAACTGGTTGTGAAAAAGCAAGTCAATCAGCAGCAGTATGGTTAAGCTTGGGGTAGGTGTAAGTGTGGGCTTTAGGGATTAGAACCAAGAAATTTGTTCTTTTCAGAAAATAGTTTCCCATTCTACACCTGATATTTTGACACTGTTTTCTCACCTTCAAAATAATTTGGGGTTATGTTCTGTTACGTTTTTAAATTAAAAAAAATATATATATATATATATATTTTTTGCAAGCATGCTCTGACACTTTTGTCTCGTTGGCAACCAAGTACACCAACTATTAAAAATAATACTTTCAGTAGCAAAACTGTCATAAAAGTGACCAAAGTTGAGGAAACACTCCCTTAGAATTTACAGTTGCTTGGCATATTTGATTTTTTCCACACTTCCAGTCTGACCTCTCCATATAATGCATACTGCTTTTTGCATATGATCTATTAGGGTGTCTTTTAGAGTGGATCTTTTAGAAATACATATTTTAGAGTGGATGTCTTTTTTGTGAATGCACTGAAGACAGTCTGAGAATGACCAAAACATGGTTGCAACTTCATCATCTGTCATTTTTTAATGCATTTGGTTTTATGCATGTGAAATTTTTGGCTAGTTGACATGACATGTCAAGCAGCAGCAGCTTATCATGTGTGAATTATTATGTGAAATGCAGGCTACAAAGGACGTGCCAAGATGATGCACCAAGACAGCTGCCACAAAAGGTAAAAACACAGGAGTGTCACTGACTAGGCTTTTGAAAACCACCAGTACCATCTGCTTGCACTTATTTCTGCAAAGCTAGATCACACATTTGCTTGCATGAAGACCAAATCAGTATCCAAATTGGATCTAACAGCAGAGATGAGATGCACACTTTCATCTCTAAGGGGCCGTTCATGCAGGAGGTTTTCTTGCATTGCATTCAAAACAACTAGACAGGGCAGAACGCAGAGACAGTCTCCAGACGTTTTTTTTTTTCAAAG